AAACCCACAACCTACCTCTCCTAACACCCCTCCTCCCCCGTTTACATGAACAGTTCAGCCACTTGGCTTTTAAAATGCTACCAACCAAACCCCAAGCATCTGCTGTCTAAATATACAGTCTGCATCATTTACTGCCCGCCAGAGTCTGGAAATTCCAGCTCCTCTTCTGTAGGTACAGGCTCAAAAGCAAGCCACTGAAGCTGATGGAATTACAGTGGGGATAAGTCTGGCTTTGGAAATTTGACATCTTATGTAATAAGTGGCTACAGGCCATAATGCTCCTCCACAATTCTCCATTCAGTGGCTTATTGCAGAATCTCCCAGTGGGTCACCAAACTATGAAATAGAAGGTTGTAAAAGTGAAGAAGGCAGATACCCTTAAAAGAGGTGATTTTCTAACAGGTGATGCCTCAGTGTAACTAGGCAGGTACTTTAGCTTAGAATGCAATAATCTAGTTACAGGTTTTTATCTGGTAAGCTATAATAAATAATTATGCAGTGGAACTAGAGGGCTAGAAATGCAGATAGGGACTGAGGCAGAACCTCTCCTTGAGCGACTAGCCTCTCTGAAACACTGTTATCAAGGGATAGAATTTCCTTTGGAGACACTTCTGCTGTCCTAAATACCTGCCGTGGCACTTGCTGGTACTCGTGGCAGTTTTGATTTCACCCCAGCCCCGTGTGTCAGTTAGGGGAAGGAGACTTGAAAACTTCAGGTAACAACAGTATGGTCCCACAGGGGAGTTTTGGCACCATAACACAGGGGAGACTGGGTGCTGTTTCATTTGTTGCTTGAAAAACACACAAATATAATGTTCCTTTTAGGGATATGCACGGAGACATTTCTTAATTTTCTGCCTTTTTTTTTTTTTCTGGAACTCCTCTGCTCTACATAGTGTTTTTTATAATCATTTTTGGACAAAGTGCAGAACATGAGAAATGGACTTTGCAGCCATGGGAGAAAACAGAACATCCACTTGATCGCCCGTTATCACTGGTGAGTACAAATGATGCTCTGAGCCTTGTTCCTAGGCCTGACTTAGCAAAACAGACTGGAGAACAAACGGGATGCTTCTGCTCGCCCCGTGCCTGCCTCTCCCTGGCACTGAGTTCAGCTGTCTGAGCCCACCTACGGCCCCGGGGTGCCTGGGGCAGCTCCTCACAGCTTGTAGGCTGGCATTGGCACAGAGGCTGCCTCTGACAGGGAAAGCAGAAGAAGCTGGATGAGATTAAAAAGTTATCTGCATTTAGAAGAGATTTATCGTGATTAAAAGCAGCGGGGGGGTGGGAAATACTGCAACAGTGAGACAAAGGCAAGCCATCAAATCAGACAGCAACACAGCTGCTGCTGCAGGAGTGGGAGCTGACAGCTCAAACAGCCACTTGGTCCCAATACTAAAATGTCAACAGAGCAGATCACTACACTGACAGAAAATACTCCGTGGGCATGGCGAGGCCACAGCCCTTGGGTGAAGCCAGGGAAGGAGGATGAAGGGTTGTGTCTGTACAATTAACCAGGACTGCTCACTGATTGCTGCTGTCTCTGCCAAGGGTCTGCATAATTACCACGTTGTCTTTTATTCACAATAATCAGCGCTTTGAAAGGGGAGGAAAAAGCCTTTCCATGTGGTTAGTTTGGGCTTAGTTGGTTGGGGTTTTGTTGTTGTTTTTTTTCCCTGGGGTTGTTTTTTTTGCTTGTTTATTTTTCACTCTTCTGATTTCCTTGCCGTTTGAAGGAGTGACAAAGTACTGAGATGCTGGCATATGCTGATGCCAGGTTTTGCAAGAAGGGCATTTGGTTGCCAGAGTGATATCTTATTTACTCTAGTGAGCTGCTGGAACTCCAGGCCACTCCTCTTCTGACTGCTCGACTTTCCTATTGCAGTTTGAAAGTCATTTTGGACCAGAGAAGGCAGTCACCTTTCAGACGATGCTGCACAAAGACCTGGGTGCAAAATGCCAGGAAGCCCACTGCCTGGCCACGTGATTGTTTTTGTAGAGCTTTACATATGTTAAATACTTCTAGGGTTCCTGTGAATGAGGGAGATTCAGGTATTGAGCAGCCTTTAGGATGGCGAGTGCTGATCGTGCTGATCGACAGGCCTGAAGCTATGGTGAAGCTCAGGCACCAGACCCTCAAACCACAGCTGCTGACTGACAGGATGGTGACTTCCAAACCCCTCTGGAAGCTCCAGGCTGTTTTTTCAGGAGCTCTGAACCCCTGCCACTCTGAGGAGCCAGCCTAAGTGCAGGATTGGTGCCAGGTTTGGTGCCTCTGAAGGGTCAGGTCAGGGTTCCTCTGCACTGTTCCTGCAAGCTGCAGTGGTGCAGCACCACCACACTGCCTCAGCAGATCCAACCACGAGTGGGACTGTGGTCCCTGAGAGCAGGGCAGGGGCACAGCTCTTGAACTGGGAGGCAGGCACTGGCTACTGGGGTGAAGCACTTCATTGTACCCTCAGCTTATTCTTCTGGGCCTGTGAAAGGTAATGTCCTTCAGGGTTTATAGGCTGTACTTACTGTGGCTTTACCCTCTGCTGCTTTCAGCCAGGATCTCTTCAAAACCCTCAGCAAATACAGAAGTGTTGAACAGACTAGATAAATTGAGTGGACAACAGGTAAATGTAGAAGCAGCATGTAACGTATTGTGAGCTATGGCTTTTGAGCTGCCTTGGCATGAAATACCCCCTTCTGCCAAGCCTCTGCACTGGGCATCTCCTGATGCTGCTGGCTGCTCCCTCCCCACGCAGGGGGTGGCTCCGTGTCCAGCTGCCCTCTGCCACAGGCAGGGCTGTGCTGGAGCCCTACAAACAGGGACACTTGTCCTGGGTGTCAGGGAAGGAGAAGTCACAGGTTAGAAACAGAAAGCCAGAAAGCTTCTGGAGCACAGCAAAGGAGTATTGGATACTCCAGCTCTTGGGTTTTATCTTTGTATTTAAGTCAACAGGCACTTAAAGGAACAAATCCTCAAGTGTCTCATTTTCCAAGGGAGAAAAAAATTTAGACTTGAGCACTGGCCTGTGGCAGTAAGGGAGTTCACAGCAATTTTGTACTCCATTTATTCCAACTGGTGCCATTTAGCCTTATGTATTCTTTGTCCCTGCAGGAAGTCTATTTTCTGCAAGGCACTGGCAAAGTAAAAAGGCAGGAGGTGCTTCTTAGGGGTGTGGTGTGTTCTTTGGGGAGTTGCTCCATCTGCAACAGCTAACTCAGCCTACAGGGAGGAGTTAAGGGTTTGAGCTGCCCAGCTCATATCTGGGCAGACTCCTCAGCCCTTTGCCAGAGGTAGTCACCCTGCAGGACAGGCACTGAGGAAGCAGCACAGCCAACATCCAATTTTTTTGTTATCTGTGTCACAGGAACAGGGGCCATGGTAATACCCTCAGCTTCACTCTGGTACTTACCTCTGGTTACAGTGTTGCTGATTTATTTTTTTTGCTGAGGCTGCTTATTTTTCTAGAACTGGTACATTCTGAACTAAATGTTAGCAGGAAAACCTTAAAGGCAACCAGCAATACAGCACAACTTAAAAACCACACCAAACAACTCCCAACAAGCCAGTGCAGTGAAAGAATATAGAAAGCTGTGTAACTCCTGGTAAAACACCCCAAACTACAGGGTAAGTCATTCTTCCAGTGTGTATAATTACAGAAGATATTGTTGTAGTAAATTCTATGAGATGTGACAGCATCTTGAAGTGGACAGGAATGAAAAATGGGGTGAGGAAGCCACAGCAAATGAAGCTGGAGCATTAGCTGGTATGTAAGCTTTGGCAAATAATCCAGTATTGCTTCATGTATTTCAAGTTTAAGATCAAAATAGATTTGACTGGCTTCTCATCAAACCTTTTCAACAATCAGTCAAGACCACGGAGCTTCATCACCACATCAGCCTTAAGTTAACTCTGATCTGTCTGAAGTGTGCCTTCTAGGAAAGCACCTCGTGTTTGGTGGACACGAGGGAGATGTGTGAGCCATTGCTTTCCTCAGTTCAAAAAATGTTTATCTTCCTGGTTGTTTGGACAGAGCTTTTGCCCACTTCACTAGAAAGCTTTTTTTTACTTCCTCCTTTGAAAAAATGTAAAGCAGGCTATTGCCTCAGAAAGCAACAGGATAAAAACCTTTATTGTTCCACCTTTGTCAGAGTTCATTTTCTATCCATAGGTATTTTTGTTACTGTAGGTGACATTAAAAACCTCAGCTCCTTAGAGGCCTAATGTGCAGTAGCAAAAAAACCTTCAAAACCAATTCAATCCCATGTCTTCAAGTCATACAGCACTGGGGCACCAGGAAGCTCTAGGATCAGAATCAGTTGGATCTTCCACCTCCTCCTCCCTTTCCCGTGTTCTTTGTCCTCATTTCGTGCCAAGCTTTCACCAGTGGTTCTCTGTTCTTCCAGATGAGCTCATGGCCATAAGTCACATACCACCTGGGAAAGGAGACACTGGTTAAAGCTAACTGCAACTCTTCTCTGTACCTGAGGAACAAGCTGACCACGAAAATCAAGTAATTCAGTAAAGGAGACAAGATAAACCAAGGCAGAAAGAACAACGACCTTGGAAAGTGGCAGGTAAGCCACTTGTTCTCTTGACTCCTAACAGTTTACTTCATGTTCTTGCTTATCTCAGTCCTGGGAATAAATGGTTTTCATGCCTTCAAGTAGAGATCATGAGAACAGGACACTGAAGAAGCAGAAAAAATTTCCCTTTGAGACTGTTACAAACAGTACTGTTGGCTGTGCTAATCCCTCCTGACAACACCAGGCATTTTTCTCAGTGTAAATACAGCTGCTCCATAATGAACAGCCACACTCCACTCCAAGTGAGTTTTCTTCTGTAAACATCTAAATGAAGATCTGATCTGTCAAAGCATTCTAACTTAATTTATAATCACAGAGAACTATATGTGCTGATACATGAATATGAACACAAGGGACTGAGCAAGGGAGGCTGTGATGGAGAGAAGTGGGGGGGAAGCAATCCCATGGAAAGAGGATGAAGGTTCTCCCACAAGCCTAAGCTTCATCTGAGCCATCAGCCAGTCCTAAGTGAGCTGGCCACTCCTTTAAATCATGCAGCCAGACACTTGCCTGTGAGGCAATGTACAGGATATACTGTGGTCATGCAACGTGTCTCTTAAATAGAGACCCTGCTTTAGGGTGAAGTGACCAAAATGATCACAGAAGGCGAGGCACTGGTCAACTCAGGACAATTCTCACTGCATCTGCTATCCCAGTTTAGGAATGTGTGAATCTGCATTATCATGAACAAGCTGATGCAATTCATCATGGCAGAAAGTAGGTACAGCAAGGCTACATCAGATGCATTTGTGGTGCCAGAGGAGGGGAGAAAAGGAGACTGCAGCACAGAACTTGTTGATATCAAAGCCAAGAACAGGCAAAGGCAAATCATAGGCCAAAGGAAGTGTCCTCCACCTGCTCCTCATCTGGCCTAGTGAAATCTCAGGTAGGCTTTTAAAATGCATATAGATAATGTTTAAAAGTGTTCTTAGCCATACATGTGCAAATGAAGACAACACTGTAATTGGGTAGAAGGGGAAAACTCCTTGGGTAATGTAGTTCAAACATGGAACAATGCAGAACTGTTTCCTACAGACTGGTTTCCAGTAGCTCTTCCCAATTAGGAAGGCTCCACACAAAGACAGCACAGCAATGCTGAAGGACAGCAGTAGAGGCTACTCAAAGGAATCTGGCCTGAGCCTGTACTAGCTCTGTAGCTCTCTCTAAATTGGCAATTAGAGGAAAAACACTAAGACAAAGAATTTGTCTCAGCTGTTTAATTCTAAACTTATTTTGATTTGTCCATGCTGTGTTTTGTGAGAAACTTTTCTGCCTTGTGACTCTCTGATGTGCTGGAGAGCAGGGCAGAGACAGTCAGCCCAGGTTATGGTGAGAGGACAATCTGACACCTAATCTGTCACTCTAAGGCAGTTCATCTCCATTTCCTTCAGTCCTAAGCATCTGTTCACTGTATTTTCCACCCAGTTTTACAGCACTATAAGGATAACAGTGAGTTGTCTTCAAGACAACTTTCCAAAAATAAAAGACCCCACACCTCAGAGGTAAGAGGAAGTAAAGAGGAGAAAATACAGGATACATTTAAATATGAAACAGAAGTCAGTAAATAGAGACTTACATTCCAAAGAGAGCTCCCCCAAGATGTGCAGCGTGGTCAAAAAGCCTCCAGCCCAGAGCAAGCCCTGCAGTGTCAAATGCAATTATGGCTTTTAAAGCCTGGAAAGGAACAGAACATGGCATGGACAGGATCAGTCACAGCATGTAATGGCCACTGACAACAGCAGTTCCTATTCTGGCACAGAGCAAAAATACAGAATCAAAAAATATCCCATAAATTTTATATCAAAGTAATTGCTGTAGGAAAAAAAAAAGCTTTAAAACAATAGATTCAGCCTTAGAGCTGTGCTGTCAAAATACAGCCTTGAGCAGCTACAGAGCAGTGTGGGGCTGCACGTGTCCTTTTCAAATAGTCTCTTCCAATCTGCCTTTCTAAAGCTCCAAATGTATTCCAAACTCAGGTCAGGAGACAAAAAAAAAGGGAGTTAACTGAAAAAGCACATGCTATGAAAGTTAGATACCAACAAATACAGAACTGCAACAGTGTCATTCAGCACCTCCAGCAGAGCTGGGCTGTAAGCTGTACTGCATCTGTCCTCCCACAGACAACCCTCTAGTGGCAGGAACGTGGGGCAGCATCCCTGCCAGCTCTCTCTAGGAGCTGATTAGGGGGGGTGTGAGGGAGGATGCAGGAGTGCACCAAGTTTAAACACACAGCTGCACAGTAGGGCTAAAATGATCCCAGGGTTTATACTGCTATAGGTAACGTTGCTCTTTTTACTGCTGCAGTGAGTACTTCCTCATGGCAACACTCTCTGGCTCTGCCAGTGTTTCTACCTAGGCTGTCTTTTTTAGGGAAGATGCAGTTCAAGGGCAGCATGTAATAAACCAGGTCCACTCAGGCAGAAGTGAGAACCCAACCCAGGAAGGTTACATCTAACAACACATGTTCAAATCTGTAAAAATATTAAATCTCACCCTCTTGAAATGACAAAGTTTAACAGCAGAAGAACTTTCAAGCAGTGGACCAAAGGTGATTAACAGGTCAAGATATAGATGAGAAGCTTCTCTTAAATAGCACAGTGGACACACTTAAAACAACTTAATGAAAGAAAAAAGAAGTCCTAGTAGCACACATGAAGAAAAGTCTTGTAGTTTATTTCTAATCCTAGCAGTGTTCTTAAAAGTATCAGAAGATGGTAAACCAAGGAGGAGGCAGGTATTCCTCCATGGCTGAAATGTTACTTCCCTTGAGATGTGAAACTTTTTCCCACCTTGATAAATTTTAATTCAAAAAGAATGTATCAATATTAGATTAAACTGTAACAAGTGCTGCTATAAAAAACAGCCCTTGTCAGAAAGGACAGTATTTGTAGCACGTCTCCTCAGACAGGTGAACCCAAATCCCTCCCAACTTCTTTCCCATCTTAGTATCACATTTGACACAGACCCATGCAGGAGGGAATTTAGGAAAATTCTAAATTCCCTCCACCTTTGTGCAATGACCACACTAGGCTCAGCAGTTCAGAACTGGCCTCCAGGACTCCCAGGTATTCTCTTTCAAAATAAATCTAACAGCTCAGCAACACAAAGAAAGTGGACATGTGCTCAGAGACTGGAGAGGTAGGGGGGGAAATATTTTAGGAACAGGATTTCTCTGAAGCTCAAAGATACTTACACTTCCTGCTGTGAATGTGAACATGGGAAGAAATATGATGGCAAGTTTTGCTTCTGGCATCTTTGTACACACAGCTGCCAGGACAGTCATGATAGCTCCTGACTGCAAACACAGCACAACACACCAAGGTCAGCTGAGAGGTACACAAGGAAAGTCAGTTCTTCTGCATGTGAACTCCCTTTCCTTGTTGGCTTTTATTTTCAAATGCAGCCTTTTGCACCACAGCCAAGTTCAGAATGAAAATCAAAACAACACACCATTATTTCATTTCACTATATGAAATTATAAATACTGAGGAAAAAAGTATCCCCCAGATGCTCTTACATCATTAAGAAATAACCTCCCTGACTTTTAAGATAATATCTTCCATTAATGTGCTTTTTTTCCCAGCAAACCCTAGAAATCTAACTTTTATTAATAAAACACAGACATCTCAGATGAAGGGAATCATTCTGAAGCTTGTACCAAAACAAGCAAAATAACAGATGGGCAGGGACAAGAAATCCTTTGTTAGTGAAACAAGCAATTCCCTGGTCTGTACTGAACTGACCACAGGCTTTTGTGTCCATGAAATCTCTCAATGGGAAGGCTGTGAACACAGGGAGCTAGTGCCATGTGTGGCAGTTTCAGAAGTTCAGATCAGTAAGACTAATGGAAAGTAGCATGCTCCAGATATAGTTTATTCATAAGATCCAGGGACAATACATAGTCAGCACTACCAAAAATTCTACCTTGGGGACAGCTCAACAGACTTTTTCATTCCAACTGAAAAATGAAAATCTGACTTTTGGCTTTTATCAAAATTATTTAGTAAAATAAAAGTTATAGAACTGAATGACCTCCTCAGTGACAAGAGGTCCTGCTGTTAAGTCCTTATTTACAAGCCATCAGCATTAAGTGGCATCAGTTCTGGGCTGTCCCTGCAGGAGATTTAACATATTTGAGTAGGCAAGTTCTTGCACAAGACTTGCTGCTTGTTACTTAGTTTTGGTAAATCTTCCTAGTTTCCTTTATCCCAAATATATTCTTGGCTCTTACACAAGTTAAAAAGTGTAGCAGGCTTTAAAAACAGCTTCAGAGATCATTATAAGGTCTCTCATGTTCTGAGATACTTACAGCTCCAAGGGAGGGTTCAAACCTTCCAGTGGCCATTTTAGCAACATAACTGACAAAACTGGAGATAACCCCTAGAAAGGAAACATGACAACTGGAAACAAACCAGCAATGCAGACAAGCATCAGCAAGGGCAACAATGTTCTCTGAACACTGTCCTAAAAAAGCTGTGTTGTTGTTTTAACATTAACTGTCATCTTTTCTCATCAGACTCCCATGAGTCTGTATTAACAACTATTTTATTTTGGTAGCTAAGCATGCATTAAATGCAGATACATGTCATGGTATTTTGAAGTCAAATATCCTAAACCCATCAAAATTCTCTATGACAGACAGCACGTAAGTACTGCAGTTAGTATGGAGTGATGTGTGGGACTGAGCAATGCCCCCCTGCCACTGTGCCTCTAGTGACCATGCACACACTTCTATCAATACCTATTCAGATTTTTAAGCATTGGAAATATACATGTAACATTACCAGCAGAAAGATACACTGCAATGAACTGCTCACACCCCAGAAGAGAGACAATGCTGCTGGAGAAGCTCCATAAAACATACATATTTGCTGCCATGTGGAATAGAGAGAAGTGACTGAATGTGGAGAGCAGCATGGGAGAACACAGGGCTCCTGCAAAAGAGAACAGTGGGGAAAATAATCAGTGTTTGAATCTGTTTCAACTTCCATGCCAAGCAGACCAGAAATTTATCAACACATACTATAGCCTAATTATGCTTGGAATTCTCAGATACAAGCTATGTAATAAACCCAGAAATGTAACAAATGTCAATTCATGCAATACTTTTTGGAAGGCAGAACAGAGATATGCATGCTATACAAACAGCTACTCTAGAAATTCTTAACTACCTACAGGGGCATGCTTTGTAGAAAACACTTATCTTTTTTTCCTTTCCAAAGGTGTTATAATATCTTTTATTTATAAATGCATACAGTGAAAGATTTTTAACACAATGAGCACCTACATAAAATCACTTCACTAGAGAGATGGACTCAAACCCGTTTTCTTTTCAGTGAGCTACCAGCTCTCCTCACTGCAACAGCAGCCTTGAAAGTGCAAAGAAGCCAATTAGCAGGTTTCAAGGTCGACATTATTTAACAGTAGGAGTGTTTGGGGTGACTGATGCTCCATCTGGATAACAGCTACCTTCAGCTCTGGAGTCTGTGTGGGCAATGGCTGAGTTTCCACTTTTTCAGCAGTAATTAAAGAGGATGGCAGGAAGTACTCTCCTAACAACCATTTATCCTCTTGATTATTTTCTGTATTGTAGAAATGAAAAGTAACTGTTTTGCCATCAAATGCTAGTAACTTGCTCTCCTCTGTTAACCTCTCCAACACATTTCATGCACAGTGAGAGACAAGTTTGTGGTGGTTTTTTTTTAACATGACTCAAAGCACAGCTCTGAAACACAGACTCTGTAGATGAAAGCCTGTCTGTTGATGAAAGCACACTTGCATGGGACTGACAACTCTCCTGTCTGCATCCCACAGAATAGTAAAGGGGGGGAAAAAAAACCAAAACCAAAAACAAAACACTACATTTGTGTCGAGTTTTTGAATGGCCTTACACAGCACCATTTATTTCTCTCCTTCCCAAACAGGAGCATGATCTGCATTCTGTCCAGGACAGCAGCAGGTGTTGACAGCACCTCTGCAAGTGCTATCTGCACCTTTCCAAAGGCAGGACCTGCATCCTGCTGACTGCAGTGAAAGGCCAGGTAGGAGGCAACACTTTTGATGTTACAATATTTAGGAAAGCACTAATGTTGTTTATTTTTGTTGTTGTTGTTTTAAAAAACTCTATTACTTGTAACATTTTTCCCCTCAAACCATCTGCTGTCTAGACAGAAGGATGTGTCTGGGCATGACTGAGATTGCTCGTGGGTGATGGAGCTACAAGTGAGCTGTGTGCCACCTGACAGTCCTGCAGGAAGATCAGAGGTTCTGCTACACCCCAGTGCAGTCAGGTCACCTGGACTGCTGCTCACTTACTGGAGGATGGGTCTGAGGTGAAGTATGTAAACATAATCCGTCGCATGCCAGGCAGCCTCCATAAACAGAATACAAAGACATTTGCAGCTATAATTCCTAATAAGAGGAAAAGAAAGAAGGTATAAAACAAATTATGAATAGAACACCATAATGTTCACTCAAAGTAAGCTTAAAAGAATTATACTTTTTCTTCACTATTCCCTTAAAAGCAGTATCTACTTCTTACTTCACAGTTTAAAAAAAAAAAGCAAAGAAAAACACTGAAAGCTGTATTTATATAGTGGAAGTCTTTCAGAAATATGACATTTAATTGCAACTGTCTTAACATACAGTGTAATAAACACAACAGTCCAGAAAATCTGAAGATGTTCAAGCTGTAGTTTCAAACTTCTATCCCACTGTAGAACCAATGAAACAAAAGCCAGGTCCCATTTCTAGCCTCTCTAGCTGCCTATTCCCAAACACCACCAATCTCTTGCACAGTCACATTTAACTGTGCAGGGAGGGGAGAAGAGCAGGGAACCATACAAACATGCAGTAACCATCCTGTCTGGTCCTGGGGAGCTTTAGTTTTGAGGGAATTGTAAAGATACTGGTTAGAGATCAAGCATAGCAATGCCAACCTGAGATTTTAAGGCACAGTCACCTCTGGGAGACAGGAAACATGCAGCTTCTACTCAACAGATGTTTATTGTGCTCTTAATTTATTTTAAATAATAATTTTAAATGTAAATATTAGAAACCTAATGATGCTAATTTATTGATTCTTGTTTAAAGTGCCTCTTCTATTTCTACCCAAGCATCTATGTATTTAAAATGTTTTATAATAGCTAGAAACATTAAGGGGGAACATAACTGTGATTCCTTTATGTAATGGTGAATGTCACATCATTATTCTGTTTGAAGTTTGAAACAAAATGTAAGAACTGTGAAAAACTCTGTGATATAAATCCTAGAACCAAAACTTCAACAGAGTCCTTCTTTTGACTCTCCATGCTGTTCCGAATGGTGAATGTCACATCATTACTCTCTGTTTGAAGTTTGAAACAAAATATAAGAACTGTGAAAAACTCTGTGATACAAATCCTAGAACCAAAACTTCAACAGATTCCTTCTTTTGACTCTCCATGCTGTTCCACCATGCCCTTTTATCAGAGCAAATATTTTCCCTGCATGTTAAACTGAGGTGTTGGAGAACTGTCAGCAACTTCAGTACAGCAAGCCCAATCTTGTTATGGCAATCTCCAAGTCTCTGAATGGCTCTGGGTCTGCCAGCTAGGATGTGTATTGCTGCTTAGATTAACTAGAGACTACAGAATATGAATCTCCACCCCACCCAAATACAGTATTTGTATCTGTGTCATGACCTGGCTTGCAAGTTGAGGAGTGAACTCAAAGCACTGTACAAAACTTTTTGGCAGCACTTGTTAATTGAGTGGCCTGAGACTATTTTTGCTGATGTTCAGCACTTCTGCAATCTGTTCTTAAGACTGGGAGTCAATTCTTTGAAGAGTGAGATGACTGAGAAGTTTTTTCTAAAACATTTCTACAGAAAAGTAAATGACACAGATGTAGCATTTTTAAAGTAACCTTACCCTAGCAACCTGCTAATACAGATTCTGTCAATAATGTAATATTTAACAGTGGCTATGGCTCAGCTATTTCATTTAGGTTTGAATCAATTTCTCATCAATTTCTCTCCACACATTACATTATCTTGATAATTTCAAGTGAGGTCAGGCTAACTATTCCAAACTACATTGTAACAGAAAGCTCAGGAGTGAATTTCTTGTTCTTTTATGTACCTCATACTACAAACAAAAAACAACTATTAGGGAATTTTATTCCCACATCTCAGGGGAATATATGTACCTATTACTTTTACTATATACATTTGCTGTTTTTCACAGTTCCTGAGCAAAATGTTGTCAAGGAGAAGATTCTAGCTAATATACACAAGACTTTATAATGCATACAAAAATAGTTTGTGAGAAGTATAGCAGAAATAGTGTAGGTGCAGCTGTAGGTTTACACTTGTTTTGTGCCCAACAAGCCCAAGGTGGTATGAAAGCCATCTGTCTGAACATACTGTACCTGCTTGCCATACTTCTCCTCCTGTGAATGTCTAACACTTGTAAGCTAACACAAACCTGTCACAGTCCGCTGACCCTCGCTCAGGTTATTCCACCAGCTGTTAACCTGCAATGGAATGGGTGCATGTCAGTGCTGCTGCAGGCTGCTTGCCATTTCACAAACAGCCACCTAAGGGGCTGCCTTTTTAAGCAAGGAAAGCATTTGTTTGAAATCTGTGAAGTAACCTGCTTTCAAAGTTTATTTCTGACTGGTTTAGCTTTTTGAGTTGGCATTTCCGTGGTTAAGAACAGTTAACTGCTCTCCTTCTCAGAAAGTATCACAGCTGAAGAGTTTCTTCAAAAAGAATGGGGTGATATCCTTTTAAAAAACAGCTCCACAGCTTCACCTCTGCTTGTGTTAAACAAGGATCTAGCCCATAATGCTTCCTTTAGCAGATGAGCCAAAGTTAGCACAAACCCTGCCTCGACTGAGCCTCACCCTAGTGCTGTCCAACATCACACCACCCACCTTGGAGAGATTCCACTTTTGTGCCAGGGTCCCTTTGGCAGAGGTGGCTCACAAGATGTGGAATCCATTCCCCCTTGCGTCCAGCTCACCCAGCCCTCCTCCAAGCTTAAAACCCCTGAAAAAGTTTATTGTGAGTGCAGTCAGCTCACAGCCAAATCCCACCCCTTTCCCTGCCTCAGCTTTCAGAATCATTTTGGACAAGTATTGTATGGATAGATCAACGACCTTCCAACCACATCAGTGGGGACAATACCATAAAAATTAACTGCAGGTTGGAGGTGAGGGGAAATAGTGAATGATTTGTTTCATACAGCACTATTTAATACCAGGGCAGAACTTCATTGGGTTTTTTTGCTCATTTTCCTGGCACAGGATACAGATACTGTTATTTCCTGCGAAGCTGTCTGATTTAAGAACACTGAACAAATATGATTCTTCTACAATACAGTAAGTAGGTACCCTCAGAAGCTACTGGTGGATCTTGAACTTGTAAAAATAGAACTTGCCAGCTGAAGATGGGATTAGGAGTTTAAGCCTATTAACGACAGGGCAGTTTGGTTTGGGTGGTTTTTTTTTTTTTTTATAGATAATCACTAGATCTTCCCCTGCAGGTTTTGAAGGAAAACAAACATATAAAACTGAAATTTAAAAAATATTAAGTGGCAATCACAATCTCACTTGCAGTTCATTTGCACTAACCAAGAAAGAATGCTGTACAGGGCCTGGCCAGGACAGAGCCAGTTCCCCTTATGGCAGCTCATCCGTGGTGCTGTGTGAGATTTCTGACCCAGATGGCACTGCTAACAGGCTAATGCTCTCATGTTTGCTGAACAGAGTCTGCACAGCATCAAGGCATTTCCCACTTCTTGCTCTGCCCCTGCAGCAACCAGACTGGGCTGTGCGACAGGCTGGGAGGGACACAACAGGGCAGAGGAACTGACCAAAGAGAGATTTCCTACCTTACAGTGTCACACTCAGCAGCAACAGGGGAAAGTGGGGATTTCAGGAGGTGTAGCCACCTTCTGCTCATGAACCAGCTGGGCACTGCCCTACCCCCACTTCTCTCTTCTCCCACTTACCCTTCACTTGTTCAGTAATTTTTTGGTTGCTGTTCTCTCCTTACCCCCAAGCTTTCTTGCTCTTATTCTTCCTCCATTCCTCTGGGGGTTTGTGGGGGGAATGGGTGACCAGCTGTATGGTGCTTAACTGCCAACCAGGTTTAACCCATTTTGGAAGAAGTATCACTTTACAAAACCATCTCTCCCATGTCCTGCCCAGGACCTCATGCTCCTCCAGCTCCATACTCAGCCCTACTTCCCTTGGACAAGCAGGCCTGAAAGAGTAACCAAGCCTGGCCTATCACAAGCCACAGTAATAACCTTGAAACAAACATAAAACATACATGCATGTTTAGTTTTAAATACACTTAACTCTAAACTAAATGACTGATGCTTTTGGGATGTCAGCTAAATTTGTAACAAGTCAAGTCTTGCAGCACTTATGTTGTTCTTACTGCCCAAACTCCAAAGTATTTGCATGGAAATGTCAGTGCTCATAAAGAAAAAAGGCCCTCTGAACCCTCATATTTGTGAGGTAAAGGTTGAAAATACAAACGGATTTCAGACACAATAGAATTAAAAATTCTCATGCTTAAGGTTCAGAATTTAAGCTAGTTCTGCCCTCTGGGAATTCATGTTCAGTCTTGAGAACACTTAGACACAGAAAGAGTAGGGTTTGGGGTTTTTTTGTAGCAAAAAAGCAGAAGGTACCTAGTTTAGATCCACAGACCACTGACCTTTGTTGCCTGTATTTCAGGATGAAGATGGTATTTTTCTACAGTAAAGTTTTTGCAGTGATATTGTGAGCTAATTTTCTAGAATTCTATGAGTTTTTCTTGTGAGGAAATGTATCTACTGCCGTTGGCTGAGAACCTGTTAGTGCTGTGAGTTACAAACTCAGGTGAACATGGCAAGCATCAGTTGTACAACGTGCTCAGACGTGCCCCCACCAGAGGAAAGCTGTGGTTGAGCTTTGGGCTCTGCAGGGACCCAGCCGTGAGGGTTTGGGCTGGGCCTGGCTGGTGTACCTGCTTCCTGAGGTCCCCCCTCTTCTGCGGCCGAATCCTGTCCAGCCAGTCTGCCCGAGCCTCCTCCAAGTAGCTCTGGACGCGCGACTTGAGCGCCTCGTACTGCCAGATGGCGGCCGACCCAAAGGCAGAGCCTGTGAACTGGGAGACGGGATGAAAAAGCTTCCTCTTGATGTGAGAAATGAATGTTTTATATTGAGAACAATCAAACACCGGAACGACCTCCCCAGGGATGCGGTGGGGTCTCCTTTGCTGGAGTTTTCCAAGGTGAGGCTGGATGGAGGGCTAGATAACCTCACCTAGGCTCCCTGTCCCACAAGAAGCTGGACCAGATGACCTCTGAGGTCCTTCCAACCTGAGCAGTTCTATAGAATCACAGAATCCTTTAGGCTGGAAGAGACCTTTGAGATCATCAAGCCAACACTACTAAGTCCTCTGCTAAACTGGGGGATCCTTGTGGTCCCTTACAGCCCTAACAGATTCTGATCTGTTTTAGCAGAGGACTTTAGAGCCCTAACGGCTCAATGGTTGGACTTGATGATCTTAAAGTTCCCTTCCAACCTAAATGATTCTATGATTCTAAAACAGATCAGAATCTGTCAGGGCTGGAAGGGACC